TCCAGGAAAAATGTCAGGGCAGACTGATATTCTGTGAAAGGCACAGGGATTGGAATGCTAAGTACTGGGGTAAGCTCATTTTCTCTGATGAATCCCCTTTCCAATTGTTTAGGGACATCCAGAAAAAAACCTTGCCAAGAGAAGAAAAGGTGAGCGCTACCATCTGTCCTGTGTCATGCCAACAGTAAAGCATCCTGAGACCATTCATGTGTGGGGTTGCATCTCAGCCAAGGGAGTGGGCTCACTCACAATTTTGCCTAAGAACACAGCCATGAAAAAAGAATGGTACATAAAAATCCTCCAACTTCTCCCAACCATCCAATAACAGCTTGGTGATGAACAATGCCTTTTCCAGCATGATGGAGCACCTTGCCATAAGGGAAAAGTGATAACTAAGTGTCTTGGGGAACACAACATCGAAATTTTGGGTCCATAGACAGGAATCTCTCCAGACCTTAATCCCATTGAGAACTTGTGATCAATATTCAAGAGGCAGGTGAAAAAAACCCCCCACAAATTTTGACAAACTCTAAGCATTCATTATGCAAGAATGGTTTGCCATCAGTCAGGACGCGGCCTAGAAGTTGATTGACAGCATGCCAAAGCGAATTGCAGAGGTCTTGAAAAAGAAGGATCAACACTGCAAATATTGACTCTGTATAAACTTATAAACTTAATGCAATTGTCAATAAAAGCCTTTGACAATTATGAAATGCTTGTAATTATACTTCAGTATACCATAGTAACATCTGACAAAAAGATCTAAAAACATTGCAGCAGCAGACTTTGTGAAAACTCATATTTGTGTCATTCCTAAAAACTTGGGCAGGGCTGTACATCACCCAGTGGGCTCTTTTCCAAACATCAGACCCATTGTTTGCGGTCTTATTTATTTTCTAATTTATCAAATTCATAAAAAGACACATTTGTAAATGTGGCATTTAGTGTATTTGTGTGAAGCTTCTACTTTTAAAGTAACATATGTATTTTTGAACTTACATTATGATTGCTTACGAGTAAACCCTAAATATCTCCATCGTTAAGGACCCTCTGTAGAGGTGCTTAGCTTGCAACTGAAGACATTAATTTGCAAATATTTTGGTGGTTTAATTTAACACTGACCATCATTACTCAGCTTTACTCTGACCATTCTGACAAGAAGTCTTAGGTGGATAAACTGCAGATCTAAGGTGTATGGTTCAGTAAGTTATTATTACTTAAAGAGGAGCTCCAGTCGGTTTTCTGAAAATGAAAAGTCTGCAGCTACAAAAACTATAGCTGCTGAAGTTTAATAATCAGACACTTACTTGGCAGGATCCAGCAATGCGCTCACCTGAGAGGGCACCGGGGACTGTGTTTGGTCCTCGGCTCTGGCATCTTAACTGTGGGCACCCGGCTGTGACAGTTGCGGCTTCAGAGCCAGGTGCACACTGCACATTTGCAAACCGTGCTGCGCATTGTGGATGATCCTGAAATCTTCTGGGACTTGTGATGTGTGCCAGAAGACTGCAGGGGGGAGAACTTCTGCTCAGATCGCCTAGGCGATCCAAGTGGAAGTGGGAACGGGTACCTGTCAAAACCATGTATCCTTCCTTACTCTATCCAAATTTTTTTTAAAAAGTTTTGTCTAAAGTTCTTCTTTAATATACTTAAGGCTAGGTGCACACTTGAGTGGGTGGTTACTGGTGACGGAATCGCAGCTGTTTTTTTGATTGAAAAATATACTTTATTTTTACAGAAGTATAAAAAAAACCTGATACTCTTAGTTGGGGTACATCTCACCCTGTACTGCGACGCAGCGCATAATACACCGCATTACAATACAGTTCCAGACATACAATAAATACATACAATAAGTACATTCACTCAGCGGTATGATGCCTGACGTGATGTGCATGGCGGAAGAATCCCATCATGCATGACGCCACTTACCCCAAAACTGTTTGTGGCCCCCTAGGTTACCCCCAGAGGTGCCACCACGTAACAAAACAAAGCATGCATAAACTTTACGAATACATAGCTTTAAAACAAATACAAATTCCAACAAACATCGGGTGTGGGGGGGGGGTCGGGGCAGGGGCGGAGGGGAAGGGGTTCACAGGCCTGAAGCTTTATTGAGGGGACAAAGACACACAAGGAGGAGTAGGGGGAAGGGGGGGCCTTCAGACATCCTCTTGCTCCTTAAAGTCCTTCAGGCTATAGTCTCTGAGCAGACTGAGGATCAGTCTGCGACAGTCCTCAATGCACATCCTCTTCCACTGGTGGATGAGGCACTTTCTGGCGCACCATAAAGCGTCCTTTAAACAACACAGCACCCGCCAGGTGTCGTCAATGTCCTCCAGGCTAAAAGTTCCACAGAAAAGTCTGTTCAACACCCCAAAGTGTGTGATGGCTGTCTGTGGCACAAAGTCCTTGAGTTCAGGTTCCAAGGTCCTCAACAGGTCCTGAGCAAAAGAGCACTCCCAGAAAACGTGCTGAGCCGTTTCCTCGTGGATGATGCAGAAAGGGCAGTGTCTGTATCTGCTCAGGTTCCTGGCATGCATAAATGTCCTGAGAGGCAACCCCCCTTGGATTGCCATCCATGCCAGGTCCTTGTGCATGTTGGTGAGGCTCTTTGAAGAAACATTCCTCAAGACCACCTTTCAGGTGTCTGAAGGCAGGCCTGGAACCGACTCCAAAATGTCTCTTGCTCTGATGAGCTTGTAGATGGTCTTCGGTTTCCACAAGTCAGGCGTGACTCCCTATAGCCTCTGCTCCTTGATAAACTTAAAGGTATCCAGGTAGTACCAAGGAGTGTCCCAGTTGTAGGGGATGGAACTGTCCCAATTGTCCCATCCAAGGGACCTCCAGAGAGGCAAAAGGAAGAAGCGTGACATTGCGTTTCCGCCAGAGTCCATAGTCCGTTTCGGTAAAGTCCAGCGGATGCAGTTGCAGGCAAAGAACACCCTCGGAATCGCAGCTGTTACCGCACCCGCAGCCAAATCATGCTGCCCTGTAGAGAATCATGGTGCTGCCATTCATTCTTAATGGCACCCCCACGCATTTCAACACGTAGTGCATTTGCGGGTGTAGGAACCACCCAAGAATCACATGGTACAAAAGCACCATGCGATTTCCCTGCGTCTGTATTTTGAAAAACATGCAAACACCTTTTTTTGTGCAGGCACAGCAGCCCATTCAAATAAATACATGGGCTGCCATGCCCGTGCAAATGTGGACCAAAAACCCACACAAATGTGAACCTAGGCTTATGGCAGGATTGGCTCACTTTGGTGTTTGTGATCTTAGCAGACATCCAAGACCAATCTATCTTGGGAGAGAAAAGTCTACTAGCTGATCACTGTAGCTCCCTCAAACCAGTGCCAAGTATGTCTGCTGTGCACAGAGACATACTGTATATATATTTGTGTATACAACTTTGTTGAAAACTGTTTAAATAGAAATGGAAATGTGCTTTAAACATGCATACCCACTATATCCTGTACCCAGATCTTTATATATATATATATATATATATATATATAGTGGGTATGCATGTTTATATATATATATATATATATATATATATATATATATATATGATTTACAGCAAACAATGTCTTCTAACCTCCAACCTTTTCTTCTATAAATAATATACTGTTTACCAGCTGTATATCTAGTGACACTTTGGCCCATGTTTATATCTCTATCTTCTGAGCTGTGCTCTGTGTCATCCTGTATAATGTAATTACAGCTGCATGCCCACGGGGGCTCAGGGCTTCTCCAGAGTTTGAAAGAGGACAACCTGGGACTATAGGCAGCTTTGGGGGCCAATTCATTAATACCAAATCCAATCGGCTATGTGGAAAGCGTTTGATTACCCTCATCCAGCCGCTCATCTCTACAGGACAAATTCAATTTGGTTTGAACTGTTACCGGTTAAATTGTATTAATGAATATTCCAAGTAACACATGCAGTAAGGAAATTCAGGATTTGCCCCATGCTGCAATAGATACAATCAAAACATAGCAGGAAACATAAGCAGAGCTTCTGCATGTGTACAATTTTACACCTAGCATTTCAGGAGAACAAAAATGACTACATTTGTAAAATAATTAGCACATATTTGTAGGATGAAGATATATATGATGAATTATTAAATAGGAGTCCTTTTATTATTTGGCCATTTTAACACCATCCATCCAGTGTCATGGCAAGAGCTGTTCCACTAGTTAAAAAAATGCACTACTAATATTGCTTTTTATTAGCACTGATAACTGTATTAGTGTCGCTGGGGATGTCAGTGACAGTTAGTCAGATCCCACCCAGTGTCAGAATGTCCTCAGTCTCGCAGTCCCACTATAAGTTGCTGATTGCTGCCATTACTAGTCTAAGAAAAATAAAAATTCCAGTATATATATTGCCATTTGTAGGCACTAAAACTTTCATGTAAACCAATTATTATACACTTATTGGGATTTTTGTTTAGCAAAGACATGTAGCAGAATACATTTTGGCCTACATTTATTAAGCAATTTTATTTTTTAAATTTTTTTTACTGGATATGTTTTATAGCAAAAACGTCCAAAAATATTGTTTTTTTTTTTTAAATGTCAGTCTTTTTTTGTTTATAGCGCAAAAAATAAAAAATGCAGAGGTGACCAAATACCACCTAAAAAAGCTCTATTTGTGGGGAAAAAAATGAAAAAGTTAATTTATGTACAGCGTTGCATGACCTCGCAATTGTCAGTTAAAGTAACGCTGCACCGTATTGCAAAAAATGGCCTGGTCAGGAAGGTGGGTAAATCCTCTGGAGGGTAAGGGGTTAAAGTGTTACCAAACCCACAACAGTAAAATCAGTCTGTATATGCAGTAAAGCATGCTTGTTATACTCACTGTGGGGTTAATCCTCTGCATTGTGTAAAAAGGCTGTTTGATCCTTACTTCTCTGATTTTCCCCTTCTTCTAGTGTCCCCCTCTTATCTCCTGATAAGTCATATCATGTGGAGTCATTCTGCACATGCTCAGTTTGGTGTCTATCGCTAGAGATGTTTTTTTTTCTTGGGAGAGTGCATGTGATCAGCACAGGGCCAATCACCTCTGTCCAGACAGCGGTCGGGGGTTCTGCATCCTCCTAGAGCAAAATGAAAACTGCTCCTACAAGCTGTAACCAGTGTTCTGCTGAACACTGATAGAAGTCACAAGACTGTTCAAACTGCTGGTGAGAAAAGGTATTTATTATTATTATTATTATTATTACTACGAGTTTATATAGCGCCAAAGGGTTTGCTCAGCGCTGTACAATAGGGGGGACAATACATGGCACAGTACAACAACAACAAACAACGTACGAGGGGTAAGAGGGCCCTACTCTTACGAGCTTACAATCTAGGAGGGAGGGGGTAAATGTACAGTAGGAAGTGGCTGAGGGGGATGAAGTGGTGGGAGGAATGAGGGAGGATGGCCATTAGGTGAGGGTGGGGTAGGCTTCCCTGAAGAGATGGGTTTTGAGGGAGCGTCTGAATGTGAATAGGGAAGGCGACAGTCTGATGGATTGGGGCAGTGAGTTCCAGAGGATGGGGGAGGACCTGGAGAAGTCCTGCAGTCGTGCATGGGAGGAGGAGACCAGGGAGCAGGATAGAAGGAGGTCCTGTGAGGAGCGAAGGGTACGGGTAGGGTGGTACTTGGTGATCAGGTTGGTGAGGTAGTCAGGGGCAGTGTTGTGAACGGCTTTGTAGGTCAGGGTTAGGAGTTTTAAATTTGATGCATTGGGCAATCGGGAGCCAGTGGAGGGAGAGGCAGAGGGGGGTGGCAGAGGTGGAGCGGGTGGTGAGGTGGATGAGTCTGGCAGCTGAGTTCAGGATGGTCTGGAGCGGGGAGAGCCTGCACTTGGGTAGGCCAGTGAGGAGGGAGTTGCAGTAGTCAAGGCGTGAGATGATGAGGGAGTGTACTAGAAGTTTGGTGGTGTCTGGGGTGAGGAAGGAGCGTATCTTGGCAATGTTGCGAAGATGGAGCCTGCATGTGTTTGTGAGTGATTTGACATGCGGTTGGAGGGAGAGGTTCGCGTCAAGAATGACGCCAAGGACTTTGGCTTGCGGGGCGGGAGTGATAGTGGAGTTGTTGGCGATGATGGATAGGATGGGGGGGGGGGGGGTGTTGGCAGGGGGAAAGATGAGGAGCTCGGTTTTGGAGAGGTTGAGCTTGAGGAAATGTAGCGACATCCAGTCTGAGATGTCATTTAGGAGGTGAGTAATGCGGGTGGAGATAGTGGGGGTGAGGTGAGGGGTGGGAGGGTATTGGGTGTCGTCAGCATAGAGGTGATAGTTGAAGCCGTGAGATTGTATGAGTTTGCCCAGGGAGGAGGTGTAGATGGAGAAGAGAAGGGGTCCAAGGACAGAGCCTTGGGGGACCCCAACAGAGAGAGGGAGGGAGGGAGGGGGAGGTGGCACCATTGTAGGTGACACTGAAGGAGCGTCGGGATAGGTAGGATGAGAACCAAGAGAGAGCAGTATCTCCGATGCCAAGGGAGAGTAGTTTATTAGGAGGAGGGGGGGTGGTCAACTGTGTCGAAGGCCGCAGAGAGGTCCAGGAGAAGGAGGACAGAGTAGTCGCCCTTGGCTTTGGCGTTGAGTAGGTCGTTAGTGATTTTGAGGAGGGCAGTTTCAGTGGAGTGTAGGGGACGGAAGCCGGACTGTAGAGGGTCAAGGAGGTTATTGTCTGTAAGGTGGGCGCTTAGGCGATCGTAGACTATGCGTTCAAGGAGCTTGGAGGTGAGTGGCAGCAGGGAGATGGGTCTGAGGTTGTTGGGGTCCGCGGGATCCAGGGAGGGCTTTTTGAGGATGGGGGTGATATGCGCGTGCTTTAGGGGGGAGGGGAATACGCCAGTAGAGAGGGAGAGATTGAAGATGTGGGTGAGGGAGCGGATGAGGGAAGAGGGGGGTGACCGGAGGAGTTGAGAGGGGATAGGGTCCAGGGGGCAGGTAGTGAGGCGGGCTTTTGAGAGGACTTTGGCGACTTCCTCAGTAGTGACAGGGCTGAGGGAGTGCAGTGCGGGGGGGGTTAAGGTAGGCGGGGCATTGGGAGGAGGAGGGGGGCAGTGCGGTTGTGAGGGCAGAGGAGGGGGGAGATGAAGGGGTGACGGGGGGCGAGGAGGCTAGGTGGGGAGGTAGATTGCAAGTTGACGATGTCCTTACGGATAGCGTCAATCTTGTTGTGGAAATGGGTGGCAATCTCGTGGGCGGTGAGAGAGGTACTGAGTGGAGGAGGAGGGGGGGGAGAGCAGGGAGTTGAAGGTGGAGAAGAGTCGGCGGGGGCAGGAGGAGAGGGTGTTTATTAGGTTAACAAAGTAGGCCTGCTTGGCGGCGTAGAGGGAGGAGGTGTAGATAAGAAATGCAGATTTGTAGAGGGAGAAAGTATGAGGGGACCTGGTTTTGCGCCACAGTCTCTCCAGTGCGCGACTGCGACATTTGAGGCGTTTAGTGCTGTTGGTCTGCCAGGGTTGAAGCGGTCTGGGTTTGATGATGCGTGTGGTTAGGGGTGCCAGAGAGTCTAGGGCAGCTGACAGTGAGTCATTGTACAAGGTGGTGGCTATGTCAGGACATGACAGTGGGAGGATGCTGTCGTGTAGGCAGTCGGCGGCAGAGTGGAGGGGGGCCGGGTTCAGGTTGCGGAGGTTGCGGCTGGTGATGGTTTGGCGTTTTTGAGGGGGGGAGTTGGGGGAAGGGGAGATGGAGAAGGTGAGAGGAGGTGGTGGTCGGAGAGAGGGAAGGGGGTGTTCGAGAACTGGTTGAGGGTACAGAGGTGGGAGCAGGGTGTTCCCTCCGAAGTGGGTGGAGGATTGAGTGTGCTGTGTGAGCGCGAAGGAGGAGGTTAGGTGGAGGAATTGGGAAGTAGCCGGGGTGTTGTCGTTGATGGGGATGTTGAAGTCCCCGAGGATGATGGTCGGTAGCTCAGAGGAGAGGAAGAAGGGGAGCCAGGCGGCGAAGTCATCCAGGAAGCGGGCTATGGATCCGCAGTGGATCCATGGATTTAGCAGTTTATATTTACTAAAATAATTCCTCTTCCATGTTTTGTGCACTGTTGAAGACAAAATATAGTGAATGCAGGGTCCTGGGTTTAGTAACACTTTAAATGTTAAGTTCACCTTTTCCAGAAAATAGCCTATGCAGTCAGGGGGTCCCAATAGAAAACCTGTGGAGCTTTGTAAAATGTCCATTAATTTCATTGTCATACCAGTAGGCCATGTAGGCCCTATTAAAAAAAGCTTCCAGTTAGCAATTCCCATGTTCCCATATTATTGTACAAAAGATTGGGAACAGATCAGTTGCCAAGAATCATTTTCATAGATATGAATTAGTGTAGGTACTGAGAATCTCAAGGTGAACAATCCTGTTCTCTTAGTCGAGATTAACAAGTTGCCTTCTGTAGTATACTATTCTTTCTATGTCCCAAGCCATAGCTCTACCCAGCTGGGTACGCTCTCAGATGTCCTTGTCAATCCCAGGGGCACCGGTACCTACAACAAAAGGCCTTTTGCATCCTGCTCCCAGTGCACTTAGATCATGTTTTAAGTCAGGACTACAACAGGTGTCTCTTCCCAATGTTAGACTATCTCAACCGGGTCTTCTGCCCTGTGCAGAGCTTTTGCAGTAGCTGATTACATCTTCATGGCTGTGGGGTGTTTGGCTCCCATGCGGTTTCTCACCTAAAGCTCCTCCCACCCTGGCATTTATATGGGCACTAGAACCACCCATTACATCACTGCAGGGAGGCTGTGTTTAAAAGGGGGCCTAACACCCAATTACATAATTCCCTATTACCACACTATTTTGGGACAAAGCCACCTAGTGACAGACTAGCAAACTGCATCTTCTTACAAGCAGTCATTTCAACACACATTACACAGGCATGGTGCACTGTTGTCAGCTCTAGCAATCATTGCCATGCAGTCATGACTAGAATGTATGCATGTAGACATGAAGTGGCTACAAAGGAGAATACAGGAGATCACTGGCATGAGATGTAGCAAAGACTGAAAAAGGGTTTTTCAAAATGGTAATAGATTATATTACACATTGTTTTGGCAAACTAAATTTCTTTCAGTTTGAAAATGATATGATGTGCAATGTTCAATGCTCTTGACACGTCTGCCTCCTATCATCTGGAATCTTTAAAAGCACATATATCAGTCATACATAAGTATGGCAAAGACCCATCTAGTTGCAGCAGCTACAGACCGATTTCCTTATTGAATATTTTATTATTTCAGGTTGTTCTCCAATATTCTGGCCATACGTCCTCAGCAACATTTACCCTCGTTGGTTGATTTGGACCAAGTTGGTTTCATACCCACCTGCAAGGCATGGGACAACACCATTAAGGTCTTGAACCTAGTCCATGTGGCTAACCAGACTCGCACCCCTTGTGTGTTCCTGGGCACATGGGCACAGATGCGGAAAAGGCATTTGATCAGGTGAACTGGCAATTCATCTTCACAGTTCTTCGACGCATTGGATTGGGGGACACAATGATACACTGGATTGCTAGAATATATGCGAGGCCATCAGCTCAGGTCAAGGTGAACGGTGTACTTTCCAACCCCTTCCTGATTACCAACGGCACTAGACAGGGGTATCCCCTATCTCCCTTCTTTTCAGCCTTTCGCTTGAGCCCTTTCTATGTAGAGTCCACTTAAATCCAGACATTACAAGTCTTTGTATCAAAGATCACCAGTACAAGGTATCGCCTTACTCTGATGATATGCTTTTTTCTGTAACTAAGCCGGAAATCTCCCTTAATCTCTTTTAAGAATGTAATCGATACAGATCCTTGTCTGACTTAAAGATAAACTTCACTAAATCTGAAGCGATGGGTGTGGTAATCTCACCTTCTTTACTCTGCCAGCTCCAACTTTCCTTCAAATTCAAATGGGTGGACACCGCTTTAAAATATCTAGGCACCTTCATCCCGGCTAGCCTCCTTTGTACCTTCGAGCTTAACTTTCCTCCGCTTCTTAATACGTTTTGTACTCTACTAGATAAGTGGCAACATGGACTTCACTTCTGGCTTGGGAGATGCAATATAATCAAAATGTTCATCCTGATGAAATCCCTATACTTGTTCCAAGCATTACCCATCTCCCTACCATCCAGTTATCTTAAAAAAGTCAACTCCCTTCTCACTAAATTCATTTGGGCTGGAAGGAAGCCCCATCTTTGAGGTAGTTCGGGTCATGCATGTGGACCCTCTCTAATGATATAATTGCCTATCATGCTAAATAATCTCTCTCTGTAATAAGACTTGCTCTCGGTATTGGTATATTGGCCCAGATGGATGTTCTTCATAAATTTAGTCCAAAATGTATTCTGCTACATTTCCCGAATTAGTATTTATTTATTTAGTCTGTAGGAAAGTTATAGAATCCACAAACTATGGTATATATCTGAAAATTGATCAGTCCTGATGTATTGATGGCCTATCTCATTTCTTGAGGCCCAAAAATGTCATGTCAGTAAAAATACCCCCCAAATGACCGCCTTCCAAGGTATTTAATAAGAGGCATGGCAAGTTTTTTGAAGTTGTAATTTTTTTGTCATATTTTCTGGAAAATGAACAAATTAAAAAAAAACATTTTCACAATTTTTTTTCTTTTTGCACCAGTGCAGTACATTGTCATCACATAACTGGTATGGCGGTGATCACGGACACTGACACAGTACGAAAAAAGAATCATAATAATTTTTTTTTTCTTTTTTCTTTCATTTTTTTTAACAAACTGTGCCCAGAGCAAAACAATGTTACATTGTACTACGCTGGGGAAGTGATCAGGATTTTTTTTTTTTTTACTCATTATGATTTCTTATAGCAGTGAATTTCATTGCTATAAGCAAGCATTTTACTGAATGAAATTGATTCATTCAGTAAGTATTGTTGTTATCATCTGTGATTGGCCACAGCTAATCACATGGTACAGATAGACTGTGAGTGTCCCTGTCTGTACCATGTGATCACTGTGACCAATCACAGCTATCAACACAAAATTGTACACAATGAATGGCATGAAAGGAAGCCATTCATTGTTTAGAATTGTCATGTGATCTCCTGTGATTGGTCACAGTGATCACATGGTAGTGGCTGCAGACCAGTACAGTGACCTGGCTGTGTCTGGTGGACACAGTGGGTGACAGATCGAGGTCGCGCACAAGGCGAATTCTGGAAGGACGTCATATTACAATAGGCGGGAAATGGTTACTGGAATGTCATAAAATGACATTCCATTAATTTCTATGCATTGAGCTGAGCGACAGTGCAGAAAAAATCAGGGTCGCACAGAAACCTGCAGAAAAATAAAGCAAAAAAGGGGTTTCTTATATTAGTTTAGCGTTATTGTAGTGCATGTTGCAGGATTGCATTTTTTTTCGCACTGCTCTGTCAACTCTCTGTGAACAGGGCACACCGGAAACCATTGTTTTCTGTGTGCCCTTGTGGAGAGCTGAGCTTTTCTGATGCAGAAAAATGCAGTTCTCTTCGCAAGTGTGAATCGGCCTTAAAGTAAGAAATTTTCTCTTAAGAGCAAACACCAATATCCTATTTTGTAGCTAAACAAAGTGTAGAAATGGTTCACAAGAGAAATATATATATGGACAGAAATAAAATAGGTGTGAGAAGAAGACTAGGTGGGATGGCGGTATTATTAAGCGTTTGAGAACAGATCAGTTGCCGAGAATCTTTTTTATACATATGAATTAGTGTATGTACTGAACGCAGGCTGTAATCTTGTCGGAAAAACACTAAATTATGCAGGCAGCTGTGACATTACGTGCTTGTATACACAGCACACAGCATTCTGGCTGCAGTTCAGATTACCCAGTAAAGTATTTTCCTCATTGTACATAAAAGGGAGCCATGCACATAGATTTTGGCTTTTTTCTATTAGTTTATTTATTAGTCTGTTGGGTTATTGTAGTACTTGCTGTAGTAATAAATAAATAAGAGAGGGCTGACACTTAACACTTACAGTACATTTATTCAAGCCTCCATGTTTTTCAATGACAGCCATTCAAATATGTGCGACTTAAAAGTCGCAGTGACTTTAAATAGGTTCCTGCACTTCTTTGGTCTGACTTTTATGAGTGCCATAGACTGCAATGTAAACCATCCAAAGTCACATGAAAGTCGCACCTGAATGTTATACATGACAGTTGTGCAACAGTTGTCCTTTATCATTGGTCAAAGCCAAAGTCGCATCCAAGTTGCACCCAGGGGCAGACTGACCATTTGGAAACTCGGGCACTGCCCAAGGGCCCAGGGTCAGTAGGGGGTCCCATGAGATGCCCCTGGTACCTTTTTCATAGGCTTTTTTGAGTTTGGGCAAGGACACAGGGGCCCCATGATCCCCTATTGCCCGGGGGCCCCATGAGTTGTCAGTTCGTCCCTGGTTGCACCCATCCAAAGTTGCACAACTTTGGAGTCCTACAAATGTGAATGGAGCCTAATGGTCTTTCTGTACCAGCCTGTAATACCTTCCAAACCAGGGCAGTTTTCAATGCAGTGAAAGTCTGGCTGAAAATTATTCAGTTGTGCAATGCTGTTCCCAAATAAATGTAAACCATTTTTTTCTGATAAATTGAGCTTTCTTTTGATAATATTTAAAGAATATGTAAACCCAAGATTTCATACTCCTGATATTTGCCTGGTGTACCATGTACTTGTTGTATTGCTTCCTTCTCTGGTGTTCCTTCCAGTCCCTCTGTATGCCTATTAAAAACTGACCACACTAGGCATGAGAGCACAGTATGGTAAGTTTTCTAGTTGTGTTGAGAACTCAGCTTGCGCTCCTCCAAACGTTTGCTGACACGTCCCTCCCTGCACAGGCATTAACTGGGAAGTGCTCTGCTGTTTCTCCTCCCTGAGCTCTTTATGCAGCAAAAAACAAAGTGTATGTGATTATTTATAAAAAGGGGGGAAAAAAAGGCATTTATGTTTTTTGTATGTATACACAAATGTTATGACTTTAATTTCTATTTTAAACTGAATGGGTTGTTTTACAAGGTGAGGGTTTACATAAACTTTAACCACATCCTGCCCGCCCTATAGCAAATATGCTGCTACATGGTGTATATACATGTGATTTTGCATTTCGGGGTAGGGGGCGCGCACACCATTCGTGGCCCTGCCTGTCAATCACTGGGTCCCTCCCGGTGATTCCCTGCCGGCGCCCGGTGATTGCCAAGCATCTCCAACGGGGAGGAGGACTTCTTTGTTTACTAACAGTCCTCCTCTCTGTTGGCTCGGGCACACTGCTCTGAATAGATGTGCACAGTACAGCCATCCAGAGCAGTGTGCTTACAGTGAAGCAGCAACACACCGCCCCCCAGTAAAACACTCCCTGCACGCAGTTAACCCTTTGATCGCCCCTCATGTTAACCCCTTCCTGCCCAGTGCCATTAGTACAGTGTCAGTGTTTTTTTTTAGCACTGATCACTGTATTGGTGTCACTGGGGATGTCAGTGACACCAAGTCAGTTCCCTCCAGTGTCAAAATGCCCACCACTGTCCCGCTATAAGTCACTGATTGCCGCCATTACTAGTAAAAAAAAACAAACAAAAAAATTCCAGTATCTATACTGCCATTTGTAAACACTATAACTTTCATGTAAACCACTTTATTTACACGTATTGATATTTTTTTTTAGCAAAGACCTGTAGCAGAATAAATTTTGGCCTTAATTTATGATGAAATTTGATTTTTAAAATTTTTTTACTGGACATGTTTAATGGCAAAAAATCAAAAATATTGTTTTTTTCTCAAAATTGTGATTTTTTTATAGCGCAAATAATAAAAAAACGCACAGGCGATCAAACACCACCAAAAGAAAGCTCAATTTGTGGGAACAAAAGGGCGTAAAATTTCATTCGGCTGCAGCATTGCATGACCATGCAATTCACAGTTAAAGTAATGCAGTGCCGTAACGCAAAAAATGGCCTGGTCAGGAAGGGGCTTAAATCCTCAGAGGGCAAGTGGTTAATAATATCTGTTCCGTTTTCTAAAGAAAAATGACCAAACATTTAAAAAACTGTTTTCCCTACTTTCTGTTAAAATAAGAATGCCAGGACAGTACAACATCTATCAAAATGACCCCTTTTTGAAAAGTAGACGCTTTCTCATTTTTTCCCCCCAATTTTGTTGGAAATTAAACACGTCAGTATTTTGAGGGTAAAAACATGGAACTTGGTAATGGTGCACTAGATACATTATTATACAGTCATACACAGTTCTGGATGGAGATGCAGGGGTTAAGGTGCAGATGCAAATTATAAGGGAGGTCATGGGGTTAATATACAGGTCACCTACAGAGACATGTTGGAGATCAGATGTGTAGGAGAGGAGGAGTTGAAAAGTTAATGATTCAGAGCCATCCATTTATTTCTCCTTATTACAATTCCTCTCCTGCCACTGTAAGGGATGGGATGTACACAGTAGCATGTGATCACTGCGATTGGCTATCACAGTGATCACAAGGTATGGGGCAACTCGGATCAGCTCAATATACAACAGTTGGCGGGCGTAACGGACATCCAAGGGTGTTTTCAGCATTGATGTTTAAAAATGTGGGTGGGGGGGCAGGGTGGGGGGGGCAACTCCTGGCCAGAAATGCACGGGGCAGAAACACTTTAGGGCTATATGCAGAGGGACTGAAATGGCCCTACATGGAAATACAGCAGGAAAATACACCTGTACTGGCAGCTGTGGTGTATTTAGGTTTTGTGCTGCCCTAGGCAACACAAAAATTGGCGCCCCCCCCCGCAGAAAGAGCCTGACATTGACCAAGAGCACCCTGCCCTCCACCACCACTGCCCCCCATACACCAGCCACCATCCCCCATGGCGAGAGAGAGAGAGACACTCACCTTCACAGCTCTGGCCATCCCCAGGAACAAGAGTCGGGCTGTGCGTACACTGTCATGAAATCCACAGCATCTTTCGGAACCCACCAGGTCCCCATGCCGCGTGTGTCCCTTCTTCCAAGGGGCAGTGCTGCCCCCCCTGAAAAATGCCACCCTAGGCAAATGCCTCGTTTGCCTTGTGGTAAATACACCCCTGACTGGCAGCACTTGGGAGCCCCATCTCTTTTTCCATATGACTGAATTACAAAATCCATTGTGCACCTGTAATTTTGTGTAAGCATTGGTGGTCACAATTAGATGAGTCTTTAAAATAGTGTGCACATGTAACTGCAAATACCAGCATATTACAGTCCCACTTTGAAATTTGTAATGCAGTAATATGGACAAGAATATTCAGCAGCTTAGGCTCCGGGGGACTGTAAATACAGGCGTATTTTATGCTGTATAGCCATGCGTCATCAGTACACATGTAGTCAAAAGCTGAACTTTGGGCAGATATGAAAGACACAGATTAACCACTTGCCCTCCTGAGGATTTACCCCCCTTCCTGACCAAAACAGTCAAACAATCAAAATTGTAAAATATGTGGCTAATTTTAGACAGGACAAAATTTTAACACTTTCCTGACTAAGCCTAGGTTCACACCTATGCAGGTTGAGTTTGAGCAGATTTTGCGTTGCGTTTTGCATTTTTGCACCTGCATTCTTCCCGTGTTTTTGATGCGTTTTGCGTTTTTTTTTCTTGTTGTTAGGCAGATTTAAAAATGCATAAAAAATGTAATACATGCTTTTCTGCAGCGTTTCCATTGAAGTTTATAGAACCAAAAACGTAACTTTGTGTTCAAAAAAGTCCCTGACCTTTTACAAAAAAACACACTGGGTGAAAATGCACAGAAGTGAACATGTCTAATAGGAAATCATGTTACATGGGCTGTACTGCGTTTCTGCAAATCACTGCAGAAAACACTTAGGGGTGAACCTAGGGTAAAGGCCATTGATATGAGGATGTCCAAATTAAATTTAGCAGCGTCAGTTAACTTGATTCTGTAACCAGTTTGCCTACCTGTATGAATGTTATACAGGCGTACCTTGGTTTATAAATGCCTCAGTTAATGTAATTTTCGGTTTACGAATAAAAATCCATTGATAATAATGCCTCGGTTTACAAAATTTTTTTCGCAATAGGAACAGATTAATTGGTTTTCAATGCATTTACAATTTTTTTTTTAATCATGTCCCTTTATGCATTTAAAGTGCACTTAATAAAGAGTTTTGAATAGATAAAACTTTTTCTGACTTCCGGAACAGATTAATTGGTTTTCAATGCATTTACGATTTAATTTTTAATCATGCTCTGTACAGTATTTATACCTTTAACCACCTCCCGCCCGCCATATAGTAATATGAAGGACGCAAGGTGGTTTTCTCGTTCTGGGAGAACGTCATATAACGTCCTCCCATTCTCATTGCGCATGCACAGCTCAGGAAACGCTCAGCGCGGCGATCGGCGGTGCACTGTGTCCATTGGACACAGCGGATCACCGATCATGGAAAGAGCCGAAGATGTCGGCTCTGTCATGTGATCAGCTGTGTCCAATGACAGCTGATCACACGTAAACAGGGAAATGCTGGTTATCGGCATTTCTCTCCTCTCGAGCTGTCACGCTGACAGCTCGAGAGGAGAGCCGGTAATCGGCTTTCCGCGGAGGGGACATGTACACTGATCATCAGGGCACTGATGATCAGTGTGCCCTGATGATCAGTGTAGCCCCAGCAGTGCCACCTGTCAGTGTCCATCAGTGCCTTATGTCAGTGCTCATCAGTGCCTCGTGCCAGTGCCCATCTGAGCTGCCTTTCAGTGTCACCCATCAGTGCCAGTCAGTGCCACCTATCAATGCCAATCAGTGCACACCTATCAGTGCTGCCAATCAGTGCCGCCTATCAGTGCGCATCAGTGCCGCCTATCAGTGCCTGTCAGTGCCGCCTAACAGTGCCAGTCAGTGCCGCCTATCAGTGCCATATATCAGTGCCATGTATCAGTGCTGCCTTTCAGTGCCCATCAGTGATGCTTGTCACTGCCCATCAGTGCCACCTACCAGTGCCTCCTCATCAGTGCAGCCTATCAGTGCCCATCAGTGCAGCCTCATTAGCGCACATCAGTGAAGAAGAAAAATCACTTATTTACAAAATTTTATAACAAAAACTAAGAAAAAAATGTTTTTTTTTTTTTTAATTTACAGTGGTTTTTGGTTTAAGAAAAAATAAAAAACCCAGAGGTGATTAAATACTACCAAAATAAAGCTCTGTCACAAAAAAATGATAAAAGATGGGTACAGTGTTGTTTGACCGCGCAATTGTCATTCAAAGTGCAACAGCCCTGAAAGCTGGAAATTGGCCTGGGCAGGAAGGGGGTATAAGTGCCCTGTAGGCTAGTGGTTAAAGTGCACTTTATAAAGAGTTTTAAACAGATAAACTTTTTTTTTTACTTTTTTCGGACTTCAGAAATGGATTAATTGGTATTCAATGCATTCCTATGGGAAACCGTATTTCGGTTTATGAATTATTCGCAATACGAAAAGTCCTGCAGAACGATTTCAATTTGTAAACCGACGTATGCCTATTATTTCAACATATGAACAGTAATGAGGGTCCTGAAACACACAATCTAAGATCCTTTACTTCCATCTTGAGCATTTCCTTTTAAAGCAGAACTAAAAACTTTATCTGAGTAACCGTACACTGAAACCGCTATGTAGTTCATTTTTAATATCCAAAGCAAACTCATTCATCCATGTCTCCATGCTTTATTTTGTTCAGAAATCACTTTGAAAAAAAATTTCTGGCCATCTTGCCTAAGCGCAGATAATTCATGTAGCATTTACTTTCTGTAATCCATGTACCCGTAGCTAAGGCTTACAATCAGGAGGTGTGCTTAGGTGAGAAAACCCTTCCTCTCCTCCTGAGGACTCCTGGGTTTTTTGGCATCATTTGCCTAGGCCTGGAAACCAGGAAGTAACTGAAGAAATATAGAAAAAACATTTAAACAAGTAAATATGATATACTTTCTTATCTGTTTACTAATGATAGCAGCCTCAGGATTAAAAATAGTCAATGTTGATTGAGAGAGTGAAGTTCCACTTTAATCATACATACTCACTATATCCTATATCACTATATACCCTTTTTTATCTATAAATATTACTCTGTTTACTGGCTGTATATTTTGTGATACTTGGTTTCATGAACACACTTGTTGGCCTAGACCAGAAACCAGAAAGCAACCTAAAGAAAATGTTTTAAAAAAAAAAAAAAAAAAAAATAAACCTATATTTACTAATGCTAGCAGCAGAAGGATTAAACGTCGTTATTAAGGCTAGGTTCACATCTCCACGTTCTGCGGGCCGTGTTTTGCACAGGCACGAGAGCCCATTCAATTGAATGGACTCCCGTGCCCCGGGACACGCAGGGAAGAAGTCCCTGTACTTCTTCGGAAAACGCAGCCCGCACAAGAAGCTCGGTTTTCAGTACGGTTGCGATTTCCCATGCAGGAGGCATGCCTTTAGAACTAATGGCACCCGCCCACGTGTCTGCATTCCTCTGTGCGGGTGGTGCGGCTGTACGGATTTTTGTGCAGATCTGCAGCGGCACGGCACCATCCACACAGATGTGAACCAGGGCTAAGAGAGGTTTAGTTCCACTTTAATGATGTAAAGCAGATGTAAACCCTGACTTTAGCTTGCTAAAGCATTGTGTATCAAACAGCAATTGACTTTTTAAGTTTCAAATTAAGTCCTTTTTTTATTTTTAATCCTTCGTTACACAGTGTTGCTCAGCCTCTTTATGCCACGTCCAGTCTCTTCTTGATGGTTGTTTGGCATTTCCCAGGGAGGGTTTCCTGAGGTGACAGTGGTAGACCATGCTTCTATAATATTTGTTGAAACAGCCACTTGTACTCTTTATCTGAAGTCCATATGACTGAGTGGTAATGCAAGAGCACAACTAAGAGACAAGATCAGAGTGGTGTCACCCTATAACAGGAAGTGTCTAAGCAAGCAAAAAAAATTAAGACATAACCCATATGGAAGAAAAATATATTTAAAAAATATTCTTCCCAAATATATTGACATATATTTGAAATGCTACAATTTTGGCCATATTCCATATATTTTTAAATATATTTCAATAAATAAATATACACACACACACAGTATTTTGAAATGCATTTTTATTACAAAATATATGAAAAATACTTTTAAAAATATACTGTATATTTGAAATGTATCTTTAAAAATACAAATCTACTTTTTTGGAATGCAATTACAAACATATGTAAAAAATATATGTTAAAAAAAATCTGAAGAATATAAACACAAAGTTATTTTAACATATAAAAAAGTAATTTTAACATTTTTACCTATATTTGTAAATGCATTCCAAAAATGTAGATTTATACTTTTAAAGACATACAGTATATTTGAAATGTATTTTTTTTTATATTTTTCATATATTTTGTAATAAAAACACATTTCAACATACACACATCATATATATATATATATATATATATATTGAAATATATTGACTGACCAAAATTGTAGCATTTCAAATATATGGCAATATATTTGGGAAGACTATTTTTGAAATATATTTCAGATATAGTTTTCTTCCAAATGGGGAATAAATAACATGACTCACAATTACAATATGTTATGCTTACATGAAATTTCAGTTGGGTTGGATTTACATACACTTTGGCCAAAGAACAATGTTGATTAGTTTACTTCATCTTATAAAATCATTAACCATTTTCAAGACTGGATGTACACTATATTGCTATTGTTTGTGTTGAGTGCTTTCTCTGCCCACCATCTTCTATTATAACAGTAGGAACAGTGTTTTACAGCCTCCTTTGCTTGCAAAACCAAATTTATGAAATAAAAGGACTTGAAGCCTATACAAAATTGCATTGATTTGGTTTACATGTACCTTAACACAACAATGTAATTACAAAACCGTTAATTTTAGTCTTTGAAAATGTATGAAAATGGCACTGACAGTCTCTACCTTCAACGTTTCCCCCAAAAAATGAAATGTTAAAGGTGTCTAACAGTCCGCAAACACTATGCAAAGCACACAGTGGGTTGGTGGCAAGCAACTCGCTAACCATAGCAACACAGTGAATGATAGTTTTAAGTACTTCGGGAACCCTCCTCCTCACAAGAGACACATTCTCTAAATGAAGTCAGAATTCAGCATTGAATTGCAGAGTCATTACTGAATCTCGACACTTGCAGACTTCAGTTGAAAAGATTTTATTACATGATTGGCAGGTGGCATCTCAGTAAGTTTTAACAGACAGCATAAAAGCCTGAGTTTTAAAATTTTCGGCATCACACATATCCCTTTTCCACACAAAATATATCTTCTTATTATTTCTAAAACTTTCTCTTTTACTTTTTCATGTACCAAATACAAAATCTAACATTTTTGCACACCATAACTTATTTGTAAGGTATTCTATGCTATGATCATAAATACATTTCTATAGATCATTTTTACATGGTCCCATAGATTGCTGCTTACAATGCACTCATTTATTGGACCTATCCTGAGTTGAGTTGCACATATTGTTGCAGATTTTAACCTCTTGCCTACCGGGCACTTTCACCCCCTTCCTGCCCAGGCCATTTTTCAGCTTTCAGCACTGTTGCACTTTGAATGACAATTGCGCGGTCATGCAACACTGTACCCATATGAAATTTGTATCATTTTTTTGAGACAGAGCTTTTTTTTGGTGGTATTTATTCTCCCCTGGGTTTTTTTTCATTTTTTGATAAACAAACCAAAAACAACAGAAAATTTTGGAAAAAAAGAAAAGTTTTTTATCTTAGTTTCTGTTATAAAATTTTGTAAATGAGTATTTTTCTCCTTCACTGATGTGCGCTAATGAGGCTGCAGTGATGGGCACTGATAGGTGGCACTGATGGGCACTGTTGAGGAGGCACTGGTAGGTGGCACTGATGGGCATTCACAGACATCACTGATAGGCACTGAAAGACAGTACTTATATATAGCACTGATAGGTATCACGGACTGGAACTGTTAGGCGGCACTGACAAGCACTGATAGGCGGCAGTGACTGGCACTGATAGGTGGCACTGATTGGCAGTACTCGTAGGCGGCAATGACTGGCACTAATTGGTGGCATTGAAAGGCAGCTCAGATGGGCACTGATATGTGGCATTGATGTCAACTGGTAGGCACTGATATGTGGCATTGATGTGCACTGATGGACACTGACAGGTGGCACTGATGGGGCTACACTGATCACCAGTGCCCTGATGATCAGTGTAGATGTCCCCTCTGAGGAATGTCAATTACCGGCCCTCCTCTCCTCACAAGCTGTCAGCGTGACAGCTCGTGAGGAGAGAAATGCCGATATCCGGCATTTCCTTATTTACATGTAATCAGCTGTGATTGGACAAAGATAATAGGATGACATGATAGAGCCAAAGTCATCAGCTCTTTCCGCTGATCGGTGATCCGCTGTGTCCCAGGGACACAGCGCCCCACCGATCGCAGCGCTGCGCGCCTCCCAGATTGAGAGAGAACCACCTTCCGCCCGTCATTTCCTTATATGGCGGGCAGGAGGCAGTTAAATAAGCCATTTATTAAAGTCTACAGTGGTATTGCCTGGCAAGGGAGTATGTAAGCTGTGAAGTCAGTTCAATATGAGTGTGGTCCGACCAGATAATACGAGGTGGTATCGAAATGTTTTGAGACTAGTTTTGTAAAAACGCCAACAAAATGGCAGCACAAGACTGCATGCACAGTCACACGCAGCACCGACCTTCATAAGTCAGTGTGCCAAAAGACCTTGTCCTGTGTACATCAGGATCTGTGTAACTGGTGCTCTTCTGACCACGTGTTACCACATGGAGAAGTTTCTAGAAGCTACTGGGTGGAGGCCAGAATGTGCTGAGTTGCATATTCATGGGAGTATGACAAATTCCAAGGAAGAGGCCTGGCAGTGTGGTAGACAGGCCCATAAATATAGGAGAGCCTGGGAAGTCTGGTGGAAGATGGAGTGCCGAGGTGCGCCACTATATAGCATGGGAGGGGCCCCCAGAGAAGGGGGGTTCTGCCTCCAGGCTGAAGATCGGAAGGATCGGAAAAAGAATCTGACAGAGGGAGCTCCACTGCCCTGCAGTCCACTGAGGAAGAACAGCCTGTTAAGAAACCAACCCAGTGAAAAGCCTGAAAGCAGTTTATCCAAAGCTACAGGACAAAAAGGATATTGTGAGTACCAATACACCTCCAGGTCCTACAGGAGAGAGGGATGCTAGGTGCTATACCTAGCCAGTTCTCCTTAGGACAGTGCTACCAGTCTGTTCTGTCTTCAAAGACAGCCAGGTGGATGGACAGTTTCTAGCTGGGGTCTGAAGAGGTTCATTTAGAGGGGACCAAGTGCTCCTCACAGAGACTACATTACTGATCCATCAAGAGACTGATGCCACTCCAGAGGGAGTAGAAAGTCCAGAATCCTAAATTTTTGTGCACAAATTTAGCAAATTTGTCCTCAGAGCATTGGTGTCAAGTTGGGCATCCCATATATCCCTACACCATATCCAAGTTGTTTACCCTTCTATATAACAACAAAAACAAGCCAATGGACTGGTTACTGACTCTGAATGAAAGTTGGAAAATGGGCGTTGCCTGGTCGTGAAAATAGGGGGACCCAAAACAAGCGGCTTTCAAGGGGGTAGCACTACATGTGGGGTTCCTCATCCAGGATTCCCTTATAACAATCTGCATGGCAGTTGCTCATAGCAACTTCCTAATTGCTATGCATTTACAAGTTTTACTTATGCCAGCAAACATGGACTGTTCAAGTATTCCTGCAAAGAAACAACGGCATTTGAGCTCGCAAAATCCAGCTCAGCTGAGGAAGGGTTAACCCAAGTGCAGGAACAGTCTTGCAAAACAGTGCTGCTGACACCCTTATGTCTGGTTGAGGTGTGGGGCCAAAGCCTTAAGTCCACTGAGTAAACCCAGCATGGAGAGAGAGTGAGAGAAGCAAGATGGAGGATGGTGTACTAGTTTACCCAAAGTTCTTGTTACCTGAAATGCAGGAGATGACTCTGGTGGACACCGTAGTGCGTTTGGAGCACCGAGAGGCTGTGTCTGATATACCTCAGCTGCAAGATTCTCACTGCCCCAGTGAGTGCATGAATCAAGTGCGGACTGTATGGAGCACCACTGATGAGGATGATAACCAATGATCTGGCACCAATTACCTACAGTGTAGATCTGCAGTCAGGCCTGTGCACGTAGCAGCTAATGAGATAATCCTGGAAGGCTGGAAAATTTTGAGAAGCTAATGCTGAGAGCAGGGTCGATTCCTCCATGAAGTTTAAAAACACCTGCAGTGGAGTGTAGTCCCAGGACCAAGAGTCCCCCATGAAGATTCAAGATACCTGCGGCAGAGGATGGAAGCCTGACGCCACTTACAGTTTGCATGGAGATGCTGCTGAAGGGTCGGTGCCCACCAGTGCTGCTCAGCAGGAACAAGCAAGCGTCCCAGAGAAGCCAGTTGTGCCTTTACATCTTGTCAATCCCACTTGGAAGGAGCCAGAGTGTGCAGACAGCTCATCTTCAGGTGAGCCAGTGGGGAGTGGCAGACTGCAGGCAGAGTTTGAGCCCCTGGAGGCAGACTGTGACAAGTGGTCTCCAAATAGTGATTTGGAAGAAGAGTGGGGACTGGATTATCCCTCTGTTCCTCAGGATGTTATGGACATTATTAAGACTTCCATACACAGTGGGAAGTGGACATAGTTTGGGACTATATGCACGTACCCAAGCTACTGCAGGGGTCTCATAACATGGAGGTCTTGGCCCAATTCTAGGAAATTACACAGTAATGGAGCCTTGGGCGTGCCATCCACAAGGACCATGTGGTGGTTATTAAAGCAATGCAGCCGAGTCGGAGCTAATAGGTTGCCATTCAGAAAGCTGATGGTGAAATTACCTTACTGCCATGTCCTAGGATATACCGTTAAGAGGGGCTGACACAGGATTGCAGCCTGAAGACAGTAGGAGGGCAGCTGCAGCTTGAGATGCAAGGGAATCTATTACCCATGCCCTTTTCTTTGCTCTTTTACAGACCAGGTCAGACCATCATCACCCATCCTTTAGCAGATGTGTGGATTCTGGAGAAGATATGGGGTGAGGCCTGGTCAATGTTGCCATTTTGATATGTGGAATGGCACCTCCTTAATGTTCTCTTTTACTCAAAGACATTATGCCGAATGCTGACGTGCTAATCATCAAATAAGTGAGGCATATAAATGAAATAATATTGATAATGATTAGGTCCATAGGACCACAAGGTACAGTAATCCAAAAGGTGCAAAATAACTGTGGTAGTAATCAAGTGAAGAAATCAGCCACCTCGATCAGATGTAAACTCACTAGAAAGCTACTGGGAAATAACATTTACCTGTATCACATCTGAAGATCAGGAGACAGCCAGGGGACCTAGCTTAAACTGCTGCAACCTAGGCAAAGATGGAAGATGGACCCTTTCCTAGGGAAAATGGCTCACCACTCTCATGACACCAACAAGCTTTCATGTGGAACAGACAAAGCCACACTTCACCCTGCCCCTCACTCTGCAGTAGGCTCTACCAAGGTAGAGCCTACTGCAGAGTGAGGGGGGCAGGCGAAGTGTGGCGTTGTCTGTTCCACATGAAAGCTTGTTGGTGTCACTGAGCACAAGAGCAAAGATCCCGAGAGTGGTGAGCCATCTTCCCATAAGAAAGGGTCCATCTTCCATCATTGCCTACGTCGGAGCAGTTTACGCTAGATTCCCTGGCTGTCTCTTGCTCCTCAGATGTGATATACGTACATGCCATTTACCAGTAGCTTTCTGGTGTTTTTACATCTGACAGAGGTGGCGGATTTCTTCACTTGATTACTACCACAGTTATTTTGCACCTTTGATTACTGCCCCTTGTGGTCCTTCGGACATTAATATGTATTTTACTGTCTTAATCAATTTTATTGCATTTCATTTATATGCCTCACTTACTTGATGATTATCACTTGTGATTACGGACATTATCACAATTTATTCTACAGACCTTTTTAGCTTTCATTTTACCTGCACTTACAGTGCACTTATATGGTGCATTTGACTGTTTCACTTGATTTAAGATAGTTACTGGAATGTGCTGCAGTTGCTGAGTGTGTGTAAAACCCCCAAAGATACCAAAGTTGTTTTGACTTTTGTGGCAGTAAAAGTGTTACAATTCTCTTCAACTCCTGTTTAGAAATGTTACACACCAATCTTAATGGAGAGTGAATGTTACTTTAAACAAGCTGCTAGCAGGCTTTTAACAAGAGGATCTTCAATGGCCTCAAGAAAAATTAAAAGTCAGCAGCTACAAATACTGTAGCTGCTGACCTAATATAAAACGTACCTTTGCAGGGATCCAGCGCTGTCCTCACCCGACCAGTTTCTTCACCAGTCTTCTGGTCCCCAGCATTGGTATCTTTACTATGTGACGTCGACTGTGAGCCCTAGAGGCTTCATCGTTGGCCACTTACTGGTCATGTGTGAGCCACACTGCGCTTTGTGAATGGTCCCTTAGCTTTTTGGAACCTGTGCGACATGTCCTAGAAAGTTGCAGGAAAGGGGGGCAAGTGGGAACTGGTACCTGCACCCCAAAAACAAAAATGTTTGTGCAAAGGTGGTAGAGGGGAGAGGTTAAAGTAGTGTTGAAGCCTGCTAGCAGCTTGTTTAAAGTGGCAATCAGCACTCGCATTAGGATCAGTGTTCAGAATTTACAAACTTGAGCTTAAGGATATTTTAACAACGTCAACAAAGCTTTCTGAAAGCTCTGCAAATGTTTTATAAAAAAACTTGCTGTGACCACTGCTCTTATATAAGCTCAAGCCAGTGTGAAACAGGTCTAAGGGGCTTCTGATGGTGGCAGGACTACACTTACCTCTATTGCTGAGGAGTGTGAGGCACTGTTACTAGTTGTGGGGAGTTAGCAATGGCATGGCTCACATGTGTGTGGAGGCCCGGAACTTAGCCACATCTGAGGCCCCAGGGTTTTTGGCAGAGCACAGTGGGGAGGAGCAGGGTAGCAGAGTTATACAACACAGTCAGGAGGGTGACACCACTCTCATTGTTGGTGCTAGCGAATACAGTGGTGCCACCTCCCTCGTCATAGTCTGCTTTTCAGACAGTGAAGACAAAGCACCACATTGACAAGTAATCAGCTCTGCTCACTACTCGTCTGTATGTTTCTTAGGGTCTTAGTGCTACTGCACAGGGCATAACAGGTGTCCTTTAGGTACATATGTTAGTATGTAAAATTACCCCTTTTTAAAGAATATATCTCTGCATTATATGGCGTTTTGTTACATCTGCCTGCAGTTTAGCTGTAATAAAGTGTTTTTGAATTTCATATTTAAAAAAGGTAGATTGCCGCTATTATCTATTAAAACGTATTGAATACAGAGAGCAATAGAACACTACTAAAGGAAACTAAGTATGACTAAACCCAAAAACAAACATTTTATTTATTACAGTGTACCAGGCTTTAGCTGTGGTGGTTGTATTGTTTTGTTTTTAGGCTGTTTTTCATTTATTTTTACCTGGGGATCCTGCCAAGAACACACTTCTCATCCTAAAGTAACAACGTTCACCCACTTTACTGTACAAGTGCAGGAGCAGAAACAAAAGGATTACAGAACACCTTCCCATCACCCCATCCCTATTACATAAGGGTGCAGTGTTCTCCACAGGGAGAGCTGAGAATACTGCTGATTGCAGAAAGAGAGCACAGAAAGTTATCAGCTGCAAGATTTCTGGCAGGATCAACTAGAACTGTTTTCACCAAACAGATACAGCAACAAGCTTTCAATAGTATAAGTAACAAACCAAGAGGGAGCAAACAAGTGATGTTCATTGTTAGGGATTTATATATACTTTAAACAGATTCAACTTCACGGCAGAGGATCCCCATAAAATGCACAGTGTATTTGAATTTTTTCTAAGATGGAAATATATTATGCATTCATTTTATATAGTACGTACAGTTTTTCTCCGAAGTCACAACTCAGTTCATTTGGGAACTCACAAACTCCCCATACATAAAAAGTTAAACAATTTATGAAAGTAGTTGGCACTGGCAAAATAAATGCCATGGCTGTACTAAAAAAAAAGCTATGAGCAATACTTACATGCTGCTTTCCCTATAGTACATTAGATCCATTACCTTATTATATGAAGCTGCTATCACTGTTTTACAAAGATCATTTTCCCATGATCCCTGTCTGAATACCTATCTCTCTCTCCCCAAGTCTGTGACCTAATTTAAACTAGAGTAAAAGCCAACAACTCCCAAGAAAATATAAAAAGCAAAATATGGGACACATAATCCTCTCCAATTTGCTTCTGTCATTTCTGAGAAAGTTATTAAGAAAATTGAGTCACTTGCTATATCTGGAGATGTGGTGCATTTATTTTATTTTTTAAGGAGACACAAAGAAAACATATTTAATAAAATTGCAGTCCCAAATGGTCATCTCTCTGCCAAAATAAAGAGTGCCTGCTGTTTATTTTATGAGGGTTAAAGCAGACGTGTTTGCTTTGCCCAGCCATTTTTAACTTCCCATAAAACAGAAATTGGGTACCCAGCTTTGTCAAATTGAGACCTTTCATTAAGCTATTATACCTGTTTTTGAAGCCTTTACTGCACGCTGCCTGTGTCTAACTCAAGGGCAGCTTAGTTCCAGGCCAGAGAAGTACCTGCATGCCATCATCAGGAGCTATGTAGTTGTCCAGGAACTGGAGACTCATACAATGGCATTTTTCACCAACAAACAAACTCTGGGGACAAATTTCCTGGAAAGCAACTGTGATGTAGTATAGTAACCCACAGCAACACATTTCAGAAAACTAAAATCAGGGTGGGGGATGAATTCTGATTGGCTGCTGTGAAACACTCCCCTTTGTCTTGGTAAATAAATGTATATATCCTATGTTTAGTGAAGAAGTGTAGCCTTGTATGTGATTAGATAAGAAGAGTTTCCATTCATAACCTTGACACGTGTGGTGTTCGGTTAGACCGATGCACGGCTGCAGGTCATCAAGATCTACCCACTAAATAGATTAGTAACATGTCATAAGTCTCCCCCCGCTGCCCTACTTAAATGAAAGTTATTATTTTTACTGATCCAAATTAACGTGTTTTGGTCACAAAACACTGGGCTGGTTTATGAAAATGTGAAAAGATACCCAGGAACCAAAAGAGATCTTGGCTTTCATTTTCTAACCGTAAATAGTAAAGAAAGGAGAGCTGGAACAGAACTATTGAAAGATAACAGGCACTCTGTTCAGATTTTTTAGGTCAGACCAATTTTAAAGAGTAGATAGATTATCTGAAACCCCCAAGCACAAGCAACAGGTGAAGGAACCAATTTCTGAAAATTGGACACAATAAAAATGGAGCAATAATGGATGTCTTAACAGTTCAATTTTCATATTTCATTCCCTCACCTGGAGTGATAAAATAAGACTTAGAATAGCTGGTTGTAGGTAACAACTCCACTTTGGCAGCAGATTTTATAAACCTATAGCCGTCTTGATTTCATTGCACAGTGAAGAAGTTTACCTTTTTTTTTTTTTTTCCCCATTTTTGCTCTTTTATGGAAATTTCAGACCTGCATTTCCCCCTCCTCAGAATGCAAACCACTATTTATAGGTCTGAGAAAAAAAAATTACATTTACTTACTAATCATACATTTAACTGTTTACCTGGAGACAATGATGGTTGCAGGATGAGCAAAAAAAAAAAAAAAACACTGTAAACCTTGGCACATGATAAAACAGTAATATGCATTAAAACACAGTTGGAACACAAATATAAGCACTTTTATTTAACCAAGCTCAGCTTGGGACAGCAATATTGTGTAAATCAGGAGATATTCTCCATCATCAGCAAAACACAATGAAGATGTTAGCAGTGATGGATTTGGTTTACTAGAGAATGTACAGTCTAAACTCCCCCTTTAGCTCTCTCCTTCATGTACCCAATAAATAGAAAGTTCCTAGAAGAGAACTCTTTCTCACCAGACGGAGTGTGTCCAGTGCCTGCACAGAATCCGACGGAAAGCCTTTCTGAAGTCCTGGTTGAATATTGTGTATATAACAGGATTGAGGGAGCTGTTACAGTACCCTATCCAGAAAAAGAACTGAAACACACTTTGTGGGATGTAACAGAGTTCAGGGCATATGGCTTGAAGGCTGTAGGTAAAAAAGAAAGGGAACCAACATAAGACAAAGACACCAATAACTACAGCAAGAACAAAGGTAAACCTCTTCTCTCGGTTGATATGGCTTTTCTTTTTAGACAAGGCAGACACCGAGTCTTTTGCTTTCTTTGGCAGGAGTACAACACCTCTGGATGTAACAACGCTGTCCATCATTGAAGGCCCATGGCCATTGGTCTCTTTAGGGCCTCCAGGCTCTGGATGACCATTATTCTCCTTTAGGACAGGATGGGCCACTTTGACAGAACACAGATCAGGGGGCACAGAACTTGGCTTCTCCTCTGGATTAGAGCAGGCATGACCTGTTGATTTCTCCACACTGTGTGTCCAGCACGGTGGCAAAATAACTTACATGTCCTTTCTTTGGGTTTACTGCTGTTGGTGTTCTTCTTACTCCGACGTTTAGCTATTAGATAAATTCTGAGGTACACCAAAATCATGATCAGACAGGGAGCAAAGAAAGAGCAGATGCTGGAGGAAAGAATGTACCAGGGCTCCTCATTCAATTTACACTGAGGCTTGTCTTTGTTGTGGTCTTCCTTCTTTCCTTTGTAAATTAATGGTGGCAGGGAGATTAAGGCTGCCAACGTCCAGACTATTAAGATGATACACTTTATCCTCCTAGGAGTCCTCTTGGAATTGTATTCAATAGCTTGACTGACCGACCAGTACCTGTCCAAACTAATGGCACAAAGGTGCACTATGGATGATGTGCAGAAGAGAACATCCAGTGCCAAGTACATCTCACACCAAGTCTTGCCAAAGTACCAGTATCCCATCAGCTCATTTGCCAAGGAGAAGGGAATAATAAGAGTGGCAACTAAGATGTCTGCTGCGGCCAGTGACACCAGAAAGAGATTTTGAGGAGCTTTCAGTGAGCGGCTAGTCAGCACTGCAATAACCACCAGAACATTGCCGAATATGGTGAAGAGGATGAGAAAGGTGATAACTGCCGCTATAACAGCGGTGGCTTGGACAGTATATGACAGTGGTGATGCCATAACCTCCTTATGAAACACCAAAAGATAAGCAGCTGTTCCAAAACACTCACTGTCCACTCTAGAGAGATGATATATCCAGATCTCTAGGCTCCATCAGTCCACACTTTCCTTAAGTGTAAAAACAAAACTTTGAGGGACTTCATGAAAAGTTCAGAAATGCATGATTCTGCAAATATAGATCATCTGGTCAGAAATTCACCCAAGTCTTGCAGGGGTCTTCCTTTTGGAGAAGCTTTTCCTCTACGCTTAGCTAGGAAATATGCGATCCTGCTCTCATTTCTCTCTCACTGAGGTGCGAAATAGAGATCGACAGCTTTTAAAGTAGTGAATGTTTAGTTTACACAACCCCACTGAGTGATGTCAGAAACTCAACAGCTCAGCCTCCTTCTACAGAGGGGAGGAGGGAGCCACAGGCTGGATCCTCTTCACTCCATGGATTTATTTCCTGAACACAGCTGCTCATGGCTCTTCCTCCTGCTGTTTCAGGAGAATTTAGTGGTTCCACAATACTTGCAAGACCACCAAGGGCACCATGACTAATTTCTGCAATAAGATGTGCTTCAGTCGCACTGCACAGGGAGTAATACTGCAGCTTTAGGGATACATTCTGCAGAAAGAAACATTTCAGACTTGGCAGCACTTTACCCAACAAGTAAGCAGATTACTTCTCCTGCTTTAGTCTACAATACTATGTGGAGATGCAAAGGCTGTTACCTTACTACAATAACCACTCGGTCATCTGTGTGAGCGCTAAGAAAAAGTAAATCAAATTCATCTTATGCCATTACAAAACATGTTAACGGCAAACACTGTTTTAACCCCTTCATTTACTGGGTTTAGCATTCAGCACCAAGGATAGCTCAAGTAAATTACTGCACCAGCACCCTCTACTGGCCATTTATGGTTGCACAAGACGTTGAATTGAGACATTCCATTCTTTCCATAAATTGGTTTATTACATTAGAGAATGCAAGACACCACAGGGTTTTTGTCAGCTGCAATTCCCAACATAAAGGTTATCAATAACAATTTTACTTGCATTCACTGGATCAACAATACCTTCCACAACCACCTACAAGAGAAAAATAAATACAGTAAATCAATATTGTATTTTATACATGCACAGGGAAAAAAAACAATATTATAGTGAAAATTAACAAAATGTCACCATAAGTGACAGTGCAGAGCTGGGTGATTTCAACACAAAAGTTGAGAAAACATTTGTTACAGCTGCTTTATTCTCGATGTGTTAGATACATTATTTTGGAACTGGTGTGCATCTATTTCTGACGAGCTATGAGATGTTTGTTAAAGTAAAAGTAAGTCAAAGAAATCATGTGAAATGCGTGTCACACAAAATTTGCACACAGGTTATCTGCTGTTTGCATTGCATGCTGCCTAGTTTACAGCTATACAAATTTCCCCCATTACTTTCCAGCCGAATAATCCAGATCACAGAAAAACACATGGTCATGTCTCAGACTTAAAAAGTACAATCCAATCAAAACTGAAAAAAATAAGCCTTCGAAAAACATTCAAGGAATAAAGCCAACCTCAGAATTAATTTTTTTTTTTTAATCTAGGTATTGCTGTAGTCAACCAGGCTATCCCAATGATTTTTGCCTATGTCTAGCAGTCTGGGAACCCCTTTGGCTTATTTCTTTGAGATACAGGAGAAGTTTTCTCAAACACGGCCACGTTAAGATCATTCACATACAGAAAGACTCACGTAGCAAAGTGCCAGAGTGAGAGAAATCACATTAGAATAAACTGAGTGGACTTTGAGATTTTAAGTACTGGTACATTGCAGTGTTGCTGGATAACCTTTGAAAACAAAAAACACCTCCTGTGCTCGGGACTCAGATCAGAAGTGGACGGATGGATCGATTACTGTGAAGGTTCGTCCATGAATGGATCAAATGATATACAGCTCTTACACAAGGCTGGGGAAGCCTAACAAACTGCAATGAACAAAAAAAAAAAAAAAAAGTACACCAACCTTGCGCATTACCTCAGTGAAAAAAAAAAAGTGATTTTATTGAATTAAGATATATACTCACAAAAGTGGAATATACAAGACATAGAAAATCCAAAATTGGAACACCGGAGTAGGAGACATGTGCAAATCCCATTAAGAGGGGAGACTCTCAGGGTGATGCTGACGCATTTCATTGGGAGATTCCTTCTTCCTCAGAGCTCTGAGGAAGACCCATTGAGAGGGGAGACTCTCAGGGTGATACTGACGCATTTCGAAGGGAGATCCCGTCTTCCTCAGAGCTCTGAGGAAGAAGGGATCTCCCTTCAAAATGCATCAGGTTCACCCTGAGACTCTCCCCTCTTGATGTGATTTGCACGTGTCTCCTACTCCAGTGTTCCGATTTTGGATTTTTGTGAGTATATATCTTAATTCAATAAAATCACTCTTTTGTATTGAGGTAATACGCAAGGTTGGTGCACTTTTGCTCTTCATTGCTGGATAACCTTTGCTTAGAGTGGCTGTAAAGGTTCAAGGTTTTTACCCCCATGCATTCTATGCATGAATGTAAACAAAAAACATTGTGTGCAGCAGTCTATTCCCCCCCCCCCCACTCCAGCCTTCCTGAGCCCATCGCAATCATGAGATGTGCATGAGAGCCTCAGTTCTCCAGGGACTCTCCCTCCTCATTAGCTGAGATAGCAGCAGGAGATATTGGCTCTTGATGCTGTCAATCACAACCAGTGAGCCAATAAGGAAAGAGGGGGACAGGGCTGAGCAGCAGCTGTGTGTGAACGGACACACAGAGCAGCAGCTCAGGAGTGAGTCTGCCTGGATGTCCCCATAGCAAGCTGCTTGTTCTGGGGGCACTTTGCAGGTGGGAAGGGTCAGGAGCACCGGTGCGGTACACAGGAAGAGGAGGACCGGGGCTGATCTGGGCAAAACCACTGCACAGAGCAGGTAAGTATGACATGTTTGTTATTTTTAAAAACCGCCTTTAATATCACTTTAAATTGCTCTATAACATGAAGCATGGTTTTAAAATGCAAAGTGCCGTTACATTACTTGCAGCATAACTTACAGGCATGGTGTCAAAGGATAATGATGTCAAAGGATAATGATGTAGGATTACAAACTGATGTTACCTGCATTGTCTCAGCAGAAGGTATCTCATGCTCATGGTGAACACTATGCTAATTTGACTTTAGTAGAAAACTCTGCATTCCCATGACACTCATAAGAGATTTTATTCACTGAGTGAGCTGGTGGATGAAGCACCTTCACTGGACTTATTAGCATCAGCTAGGACTCTTTTCAGATTTTTTTTTTTTGTCCTAGTGTCCCAACACTCTCAACCATCCCTCAATTGGAGGGACAGTTCCCTCTTTCCTCCTCACTTGTCCCTCTTTTAGCTCTGGTATAGAGACAGCGAGCCAAGAATCCTCTCTCTGCACCTACTGTCACAATTTGAAAAGAGCATGGCCATGTGAGGCTCTGCCATTCACTCAGAGTTCTGTGAATGAACACCTACAAGTACTGTCAGCCTTTGTGGCTGATGGCTTGTAGTTCATAGTTTCCAATTAACTGTGGGGGTGCTGGTGAGCGCTCTTGTAGTCCATTGAGCTCTCTGGATGGAAGTAACTGCTTGCCTGTTTCAGAGGTACAGGCAGACAGCTACACTGACAGTCTGCAGGAGCCTGACATTGCACCCACCAGCAGCAACACTTTCCAGGCTCCTAAGAAAAAAAAAAATCATAAAAGCGCATTTTTTACCTGCAACAAAATGTCTATTATTTATTTTTTTAAATATTACTACAAGTACTTATATAGCGCCATCAATTTATGCAGCACTTTACACATATATATTTTACATTCACATCAGTCCCTGCCATCAAGGAGCTTTTTTAAAAGGTGAACCTATAATTTAAGGTAAAGGAAAATCAAAATGGGGTTCAAGTGACCATTTCTTGTGCTTTCATTTGTCATGGTCTGCATGATTCAGGGTGTGTCCTATCATAAATATTCTGTTCCAATGTGTGTCCCTCTTTCTTATCTAAGGAGGTTAGGAGGTATGCTGTCAGACCCAGAAATAAAAGCCCTCGTCCGTTCTCACTCCAATGGCTCTTTCATTGGGCGGGCATTAAAAACAGGCAGTCAAGCTTTTGTTTTGCTGCCCACCTAAAAATTCTAACATTACAATGGGGCAGGGTTGTGCACATTTTTACTCTGCAATTTTATCTTGGCATGAAGAGCTTGACACCTGCAAAATGTGTCCATTGAGGTCCATGGGAGTAAACTGCAGCCACAAGCCAAACACAAGGTGCAATTTTTTATTACAAAATCCCCCTTAGGATTAAAAAAAAAAAAAAAAAAAAAAAAAAAGCAGGCATTCAGGAGGCTACAGGATTCCCTGCCAGCCACTGCTATAGCCATTGAGAAGCGATCCACTGCGATCCCTTTTCAGAGGACATTAAGCACTGCTGCCAATGAAAAGCAGCAACAGTACCTGTTGTTCTTTTTTACATTTATGAGTATATGAGCTTTAGCAAGGAGTGCATTAGAACCACACTAAACACCTAATTCTCAAGGAGATATATAAACTCATACGATTAGGGGATTAAAATATGTAGTGTAGAGTATTTATGCTGCTTTTGATCATTTTATGGCAATCAAAACACTGCAATATAGAGCCACATGATTACAGTGTAAATGTTAGCACAGCAGTCTAGAGCTATGCTATGTGTATACATGAACTAGGATTTATTCACCTGAAATAAACATAGGTTTCCACAGTCTCACGGTATAGAGGCTTACAAATTACACCATTCTAAGCCCAACTCCAGCCAACACTATTTCACCTGGGATTAAAACAGTTCTGCACTCTAGGGAAAAAAAAAAAAAAAGTCGGCAGCTACAAATCCTGTAGCTGCTGACTTTTAATAAAAAGACACTTACATGTCCGGGGATCCAGCGCCACCCTCACTTGGGCTAGTTCTTCACCAGTCTTCAGGTTCCTGGTGTTGGC